CCCCAAAACCCCAAAACCCCAAAACCCCTTCTCTCCTCTCTAAAGTTGGATTTATCTAAATCTTATTGGGCTTGAAATCCTTCTCCTCAGTAACATTGCCAAAGACAGCATACTCCATAAGGTCCATTTCGGAGTCCGTCATACCGATTACCTTGCTGCTTAACTGGAGATTTCTATCTGAATAAGTTTTGTTACTTTTGAACCTATGTATAGAAAAGAGATTACCTGTTGACTCCTGTCTGAAGGATCTGGCAGTTTGAGACAACTGTCTTTCCTTCCTTTGAGTAGGGGACTATATGATCGTATTCATGGCATAAAGCACCGAAACAACCTCTTAGGTTACGAAGAACTGGGTTTCCTACTGGGTCGAATTTCCACCTGTTTGGGTCTCTTCCTAAAGAGAATGAGAAAAAGCTTGAGAATTCTCCGCTAGGATTTTCTGAAATATTTAGCTCTTACGGTTAGATTTTAGAAATTGAGAAATAAAGACTATAACATGATTCTGGCTGGTAACTCATCAGAGAACATCATGGTATAAATTAAGTAATGCTTGATGATCCAACCTGAATTTAATGCTCTTTACATACCTATAATAGTTCTTGATTTGTGCCATCAAACCTATAAGATACGATATGCTTAATTTAGGATGTTAACTCGAGCGAAGATGCTGGAACTGGAAATTAGTGTATAGATATTTCACCCAAATCATAGAAGGTGAATAGGAAGTCTAATTTTTAAGAATATATACCCATGTTTTAATATTCATGGATCAAAATCTGTTGATATTCAATAGATCTCTTATAGGACTTCTCACAAAATTCATCATAAATTAACAAGCTTACATGTTTTTGTCTTCTTGTAAAAGTTCTGTTGTCAGTATTTTCATCTTCTAAGAACTTTTTAAACTCTGTATCTGTCTTAAATAAGTGCTTATAAGAAGAGTTGTCAAGCTGCTGCATTATTTTCAATAAATAAATCAATAAAAGGGGTTTTGGGGTTTTGGGGTTTTGGGGTTTTGGGG